ACCTCCTTCTTCACATCGGCCAATACTTTCTCTTTGTATATCTTCCTTGGAGGTTGTTTATAAGGACGAAATCCAGGTTTAATGGGTAATCGATGCTCAACAATGGAACGATCCAATCCAGGCATTTCCGTGTAATCCCAAGCAAAACAATCTTTAAACTCTTTCAATAAATCTATCAACTTTGATTTATATTCTGGATCTAACTTTGCACTAATATACATCGGCCTTGGCTTAGAACCATCACCAACATTAATTTCTTCCAATTTATCAGCCGACATAAAACCACGTCCCAACTTTCCTTTGTTGCCATCGACGGGATTTCCCATTAAAAATTGCTATGAGAGCCGACTGCTTGGATCGGCTGTTGGCCCTCGCTGAAAACATTTACAGGACCTTCTTTCCACACTTTTCCAGAGAAACAATCGATGCCCTCATATTCCCAATAGGTAGATTCTGTGGCAGCAACACTTACCGAATTATCAGCATGTACAACTTCAACATCATCTCCAATCCATTGAATGAGAATTTGATGCATAGTTGAAGGAATGCAACAATTAGCATGGATCCAATCTCTGCCCAAGAGTAGACTATATGCCCCCTTACCGTCAATGACAAAAAAGGTAGTAATCAGAGTTTTCAATCCAATGGTCAGCTCGACATGGATAGCACCTCGGGTATCGGAAGGATTGCTAGCAAAGTTCCTAAGCACCATGTCAGTTTTCAACAATTCTTCATTAGTCATCCCAAGTTTCCTGAAGGTAGTATAAGGCATGATATTGATAGCAGCCCCTCCATCAACAAACATCTTGGTCAAAGGCTTGCCATTGACATATCCTTTTAAATAGAGTGGTCTCAAGTGACGATTCTTGATTGGTTTGTCAAAAACAGCCTGCTGCGTTAATATGAGCTGAGCCATCAAATCCTGACATTCACTTTCATCAAAATCAGAGTACACCTCTTCTTGGACATCTTGGCTTTCGGGAGCTATAAACTCTGATGGGAGGAAGAAAGCCATGCAAGCATTAGCCGAAGGACCACACCCATCAGGTTTCTTTTTAGGACGCCATATTTGCTTTGTTTGGTAACTTCTTGTTCCAACTCCCTATTCCTCAACCGTTGCACTCTTCTTTTCCGACTTTTCCTCGGACACTGGAGGACACCACCATCCTTTTTGCCATACGTATCTATAGAAGTCATCTTCTTCATCATGCATTCTATCATGAATCCAACCTTGACCTGCAACTCTTTTCTTTCTTTGATTCTCAAAACCATCTATTTTAAGCGCGATCATCTTGAGGAACCTTCGTTCCAAGTCTTTCATAGACGGACGGCGGTTGATTCAAGATTGCCTATACTCGAGATCTTCGAGCACTACACTCACGGACAATTATTTCTTGCAGGCAACCTCAAGCCTTCATTCCAACAATGCCTAAAGAACGAACAACCCCAATGAGACCGCTCCATTACATCATGTATTCTTCTTGCTCCCTTCGGTATACTTCTTCCTCATACCTCCGGCATTCTTCCATAAACCATTGCTTCTTACAGTATTCCTTCTCTTGTTCCCTCTGCCACTTGTTTAGCAAAATACGTGATGTAACTCTGGGTTTGGAAGTTTGACCTTTCTCGGTTCGGCTATTACGAAACCGAACTTCGTTCTTCTGACTCTCTCTTCGGTGACTTGCCGATCCGGGTCAACAACACCACTCTCCTTTGCCCTATCGAAGTCAACACCTTCACCTTGCCCTTACCCTTTGAGATCATTGGCGAGACCATATTCGCAGAGAAAGAAATCATATTTTGTGGAAAAGGCTGATCATCAATTTTCATCTTACCATCAAACCTCAAATGTCCTTCTTGGATAGCTTTACGGATTCGTATTACGAACACTCGGCAATCATTAATAGAATGAGAATTAGTGTTATGGAAACCACAATACTTTTTGTTTTTCACTCCTTCGGGGCGTAGCATAGGATGTCCTTCAGCGACTTGATGCGTCCTTCCTTTATCAACAATGCAAAAAGTCTCATGCGCTTTAGTAACATCAAAATCATAGGTTCCTTTTGTTGTTTCAACCAGCGTTGACTAACTTGAGTGGGTTCCTTTGCCCAATTTAACTCAATTTGCAGCTATCTCATCTTCATCAATATACTCGATCGCTTCATCCGAAAGCCTTGATACACCTCATTAGTGGCATTGTTCTTACGAAAGCGATTATCTCTCCACGAATCCTTGGGCTTGATTACTCATAGTCTGCTAAGCATTTGTGCAAGTTGGCGAGATCATCAAACTCTAAACCGAACAACTTCTCCACGATATTCGGCAACATTCACGCTATAGCTATTCCGGTAGTTGATCATCTGGTAAATTTAGAGAATAACACATATTCTTGGTCTCCCTAAATCTGTGAAGATACTCCAACGGTGTCTCATTTGTTCTCATCCTCAGACTCATGAGATCAACCAACTTCTTCTCATTGGTACCCGTATAGAAATATAAATGAAACTTCTGCTCTAGTTCTGCCCACGTACCAATGGAATGAGCTGGTAGAGACGTGAACCATGTGAAAGCTAGTCCTGTAAGAGACAAAGGAAAATATCGAATCCTCCAAGCTTCATCTGAAGCAGCTTCTCCGAGCTGCATTAAGTACCGACTGACGTGCTCTATGGTACTAGTATCATCTTGACCAGAAAACTTGGTCAAATCTGTTGGAGGCTTCACCCTTGGAGGCAATGTCACTCTGTTGTACCATTCTGGATAAGGAGACTTGTATGAATAGGATTGATTCTTTGGCTTCAAGCCGAACTGATTTTGCATCATATCAGCCATCCTGTGCATCAAAACATCAATGCCTGGATCCTGATTTCCTTGTACTTGCACTCTAGAAGGCAATCCTGAAACACTTCTATACCCTGGATTTGGCACAGCATTAATAGCACTGTAATCAGTAAATTCTTGATATCCATCTCCATACATATTCTTCTGCAATCTGTTTGATGCTGGAGAAACTCTATAAGCTGAAGGTGGCACTTCTCCTGTAGTACCAAATGTCACCTGGCCATAGGTGGGATGTGATTGCTTTTCAGTGTGAGTCAATCCACCTATATTTGAAGGCGACGCTACTTCTTTTCTAACAGGCTTCTCTTGATGCTTTGGAACATTGAAAAGCGTCGGCCCACTGAGTGGTCCAACATTTTCTTCGAAGTATTTATCAACCATTGGGCCAAAAGTACTGATCATGATTGCCCGAAAGGTATTCAGAAAAGCTGTGTGATGATTTGTCATGGTCTCTCCCATGGCTTTATAAACCAGGGCTGCCATCTTCTGAGCATCCTCCTCTTCAGTGTAATCAGTTTGATGCGGAAGAAGAACCCTTGGCATTGACTGCTTTTGAAATACTTTATTGCTCTTGTTTTTGGAAAAAGACATCAAGCATTTCCGTTGGTATTGCTCACATACTTGTAGCACTAAATCCTTGTAATTATCGCTGAATTCGCCATGCTTACATCGAGAACATGATCATTGTTGATCTCGGATGCCATCTTGAACTAGCAGATTGTCCCACGAAGTCATGCCCAAAAAGTGTGTTGACACAAAATGTGACGCCTTGTGCCTCACACCGATGGCGGCGTAGCTTCAATCGGGTTCTCGGGTGCTTCGTTATCCGAAGCGTGCGGTCGGTTTGACTGAAAAAAAAACTAACAAGGACAAAACAATTAAATGTCAAACCGGAACATGTCGAGATAATACCGAGACGGTTCCACATATACGGACCTGAAGCCACTTACAACGACATACATCTATAGAGAGTCATGCGCCAATGAGTTCATAAACCGTTCAACTAATAGTAAGATGAATGCACGTGGAGACCTGATTGCGAATATCGTGCATGGGAAGACATGTTTGAACAAGTGAAATTAATTATGAGTTAATGCATAACCAAGCTCGGCGATTCAAATTAATTGGGGTCCATGAAGAAGGAACGTGCAAATAAAAAAACGATTAAACTAATCTAAAACCTGCATCTGCATACGACACCTGGTTTTGTTAAAGTTTAAACATAATTAACATGCATGAACCCGCGACATGTGACAATCTAGATTAAAATAATTCAGCCATTATATGCACACTATCTGATTGCAAAGGTATTATGAAAAGCAATGATCGTTGAAGCACGAATAAAACCACAAGAGAGAAAAAGGCCGAACAATATCAAATCTAGATTGGGCAGAAGTATGTTACAAATATATATAAAATATTCCGTAATATGCAACACTGGATAACTTAATGAATCTATTTAGATTTGCCATATCTAAAAGAGCCGATAACTATCTTGCTTTCACTAAGCATATTGAGCAAACGCTTTGCATACGGTATCTACTCATAAACAAAGCATAAGCAAAGACTTCTTGATTGTCAAACAAAGATCCGCCGCACGACCATTGAAAACAAACAAGACTACTTGCATCACGTCTAAATCCACCGCATGATACTAAACATGATAACAAGGTTGTCGGAACTTACGGAGGTCGACGGATCGATGACTCATCTCGAAGAACTCGACGACACGACAAAAGGACTCGAAAGTTGGCACGGGGCCGGTTGTATTGATTTGGTTGTGAACCCCTATTACAATGGTCGAGGGTCAATATTTATACCCTAGACAAAACACGAGTCCTAGAGGACTACGATTTACAAAGGAACCTTTAAATAAACTTGGAAACTCACGATTCCTTACCCTAAACTTTTAGAGTCCTTTACTATTACAACTTTCACCTTTTCGATCGGCCTTGCCTGCCATCTTCTGTTTTTTCCCGAATGGAATCACCGCCTTCTGGAGTAACCGACCGCAATGCATTTAGCCGACCACTTGCTTTGTTTGCCGAATACCCTTCTTCCCGCATGTGGGTCTTCCTGTCATCTTCCAGAATCGACCAAAATCCAGTGTTAACAGACTGACGACGTCGTCACACGTGCGCGCCATGTATGGCGGTGTGCAGATCGGGCGACGATGGGGGAGAAGGAGTGGTACTTCTTCTGCGTCAAGGACCGCAAGTACCCGACGGGGCTGCGGACGAACCGGGCCACCGAGTCCGGCTACTGGAAGGCGACGGGCAAGGGCAGGGAGATCTTCAGGGGCAAGGCCCTCGTCGGCTTGAAGAAGACGCTCGTCTTCTACACGGGGAGGGCCCCCAGGGGTGGCAAGACCGGCTGGGTCGTGCACGAGTACCGCCTCCACGGCAAGCACGCCGCCGCCGCCGCCGCCAGCAGCAGCAGCCTCATGCCGTCGGCGTCGGTCAGAGCTGTCGCGTCAAAGGTGCTAGCTTTTGTTGCTTGTGCATGCATGTCACCGATCGATCCATCCATCCATCGGTTGGTCGAGCGAGCGAGTGGCGTGTGGATCCGTCTAACCTCGTTCATCTCTATGTGTCTTGGCTGCATGCTTCGCAGGACGACTGGGTGCTGTGCAGGGTGTTCAAGAAGAGCATCGAGCCGCCGTCAGTGGCCAGCAGCAAGAGGTCATCATCGGTCGCGTGCATGGGGATGGAGGACGTCGTGGGGCCGTCCATGTCCATGGCGGACGACTTCGCCGCGTGCGCGCTGCCCCCGCTGATGGACGTGTCCGGCGGCAGCGGCGCCAACATGTCACTTCCAGTGGCGGCGGCGGCGTCCATCGAGCTGACGCCACCGGCACCGGCACCGGCACCGGCACCGGCACCACACGTGACCTGCTTCTCCAACGCGCTGGAGGGCCACTTCCTGACCCCACCACCCTGCCTCCTCCCCTCTGCCGCCGCCACGGATCACGTCGCCCTGGCGGCCTCCGCCTCGCCGTTCCTGGCGAGCATGGTGCAGTACGACGGCGACGCGGGCGTGGGCGGCATGGTGCACGAGCTCGTGCAGGAGGCCGGCGGGTGGTACAGCATGCTGGGAGAGAGGCAGCGGCTGAGCGGCGGCGCGTCGCAGGACACCGGCGTCACCTCGGAGGTGAACCCCGCCGAGATCTCCTCGACGCGGCACCACATGGATCACGAGGCCTCCTTTTGGGGCTTCTGAACTCCCCCCATCTTTTCCGCGATCGTTAAAAAATTGAATTAGAATTAGTCACCGGATTGGAAACGGAGATTGTATTGTGCTTTTGAATATTGTTATGTGCAAAATGGGGCAAAAAAAAAAAGGTTGTGAACAACATATATGCTTGTGTAGTACTAAACCGATTTGGTTTTAGAGTAACACAGCGTGTAATTGTTACATGAAGATCTATTTGAAACGCAGGAATCCTTAGGGAATCATATATTAAAACTATTGTTTGTGTATAAAAGCAAGAAATGGCTATTTGGAGCGAGGATATTATGCCGTGATCCCACAACATACTAAAATTGTAATTGTGTCACGACCTTGACACCTAGAAACGTGTATTTGGGACAACAGTGGAGTGAGGAAATTATGCCGTGATCTTGCGACATACTAAAGTTACAAATGCGCTGATAGCTAGAAGAGTGTGTTCGGCATGATAGAATTATGCTTAAAAAGGTCTATTTGGGCACTGTCGCCGAACCCAGAACCCCTCGTCCCCGGGCTCACCGCGGTAGCGTCCAGCACGCCGCATGCCTGCCGCCGCCGCCACCGCTGTCCACTTGGCTCCCATGCCAGCGCGGGGCCGGGGAGCTGTGTGGCCCGCGGGTATCCGATCCCCACCCATGTCACCCTGTTTTGTCCGTGCCCCTGCATCGGCATCGGTGGCGCCACGCCACGCCACGCCATCACCCGCATCAGGTCCATCCACCGGCCACAGGGCCGCAGTAATCAGCGAGGGAGCGAGGAGGGGGACTTGGGCCTCGTTTAGATTGCGAAAAAATTTCAACCCGATGAATAGTACCACTTTCGTCTTATTTGACAAATATTGTCCAATCGTGGACCAACTAGGCTCAAAAGATTCATCTCGTGATTTCCAACTAAACTGTGTAATTAGTTATTTTTTTACCTACATTTAATACTCCATGCAAGCGGCTAAAAATTGATGTGATGGAGA